CTCCCTTCCCCTTTTCCCGTCGCGGTCTCTGTTTTCCGACGGAGAAAACGAGCGTACTTCTTGCGTATAAGTCGCTCGCGTTCTTCTTTCGAATACAGACAGGTTTATGTAACCTCGTACTCTCGACCCATCGTCGATCGCACGTTTTCCTCTTCAGATCCACGGTCGTTCTCCGCAGCTTTGCCGTAACAGTTCTCGGTCGATCGCGACTACGTATTCGAGAGATCCTCGATACTGTCGCGTGCGCGTAATTTATTTTAGCGCGACTCTCGAAATTGACTTCGAACTGGACTGTCACGGTGCTCGCTTGCTCGCTTGTTTCTCGTCGCAACTGAGTCTTTCGCGGCACGCTAAAACTGCGTCTTAATTATTCATATATTATTTCACGCCGCGAGTCGCCGCATATCTGCAGCTTGCCGCGACCTGCATAGAAATTTCATCAGATTTTCAGGTACGCGGCATAGATTCCGATTAGAATGCCCCAAGTTATTCCAAAATAGATTATCCCATCGCGATACCAATTGGGCGTCCCATTCTTACCCCGAACATGAGACGAAGCCTCTCTTTTTCGCGATGCTGATTAGCTGTGCGTTGCGGCTTGCTTCGTGCCGAGTGCGACTGTCATCGCCCGAGTCGAGAGACAAACCAAGTATCAGATTAAGAAGACACCAAATAGGATCTGCCTACTTAGAATCGTACGTTCGAAATATTACACTCCCAACCAGAATCTGCCTATATTTCCCAACCAGAATCCCAAATTATTTCAGAAAATCCACCCGGTGATCCTAATTAGATAATCCCAGGAAATATTGGTGTATGCGTGGAGTTTCCGAGTTTGGCGCACGAGAAGCGAAACGAGCGCCCACTCGAAGCGATAAGAAACCAAGGGGGATCTCTATCCGCTGATTATTCCCGAGCCCGATCAATGATCGCTCGACGCTTTCGACTTTACACTCCGCTATTACCATCGACGCGCCAATTAATCTCCGACGTAACGCCGCTTTATTTTTCATGCGCACCCGGATATATCGCATCGCGATAGGATCGACGCTCATTTCGACGATTCGCACGGGTTCCCCTCCGTGACCCCCTCCTTCTTCTCAGTCTTCACCTTCTGTTCCTCTTCTTCCTTCTCCTATTCCCGAGTCCTCTCGATCCCTCACACGTGGTCGCAGGTTGCGAGAGTGCCAGGCAGGTTTCGGAAGAAAAAGAACGGCGGGAGGTGGAGGACGACAAGGAAGGGATGCCCGCACCGGAGGGTGGGAGGGATGAAGAAGAAGGAAGAGGAGGAGGAGGTGGTGGGTATACGTTCCCGAACGCGAGCGAATTCTTCTCACGGTTCGCGAGAGAGCGCGCGGTTTCGTCGGCATGCGTGGGCGGACCAGCAAATAACGCCGGTCTTGTATTTTTAAACCCTCGCAGGGGCATCGGCGCGTCTCTCCGGTCCAGCCCGGCGCTCGTTTCATCGGCCATCGGAGAGACGCCGGGTCATTTCTGCCCTCGCGGCAGCAACGGCGGCGAGCGGGAGCCGCGCGTACCTTTCTCTTTTTACTTCCTCTTTATCCGGCGTACAGCACGCCCGGGCGAAAACGGTCTCACGGTCCCCAGGATGCGCGGGGGGAATGGGGTGAGGAGGTGGGGGAGGGGGAGATCCTCCGAATGAATTATCGAGGCTTCTGAAGCGGGGCCCCCGGCGAGCGGCCGTACGGCCCAGGATCGAGGGAGGAGGGAGGGAGGGGGGAGGAGAGAGGGGCAGAGAGAGGGGGGGAAAAAAGTAACGCCAGGTTCTTCGTGGCCGTTGTGTCGTTGGTTGGGTAATCGAAGATACTCCGCCGGATCCCGAGAGAGTCGAGAGATCATCAACTGGGTCTCTCTTTCTCTCTCTCTCTCTCTCTCGATTCTCACCCCACCTATCCGCCCTCTATCCCTGTCTCCAGCGCAGGAAATAGAAGATTCGTTCGCGGTGGGAACGCGGAGGCTACTCCTTAGGCGGCAATTAACCTTTCGATACATTCCGAGCACCGGAGTGACCTTGCCTGCCACGTGCATCCTCTTATCGCGCGCGCATGCGGCTTCGGAAATACCGATTTCGTATTACCGTTACGCTTATCAGATCACGCGCGGGCAATATAAAGATTATGCGGTCGTTTCGCGGCGCGCGTGTGGTCGTGGCGATTTGCGGGGAAAATTCTATGTCCAGAAGAGATTCGGAGAGGAAGTACTTTCGAGAAAATCATTGATCTTTATTCCGACTAACCCTTTATCGCATAGCGTCCTTTATACGGGACACTTATTTCTCCGCAGTTTTTCTGTGTTTTTCGTAATTTCATAATCGTGTTTGTGTAATGTGATATCGTTATGTTCCTGAGACTTGTATGTATACATGAATATGATTTGCAATCAGCGATCCCAGAAAAACCCGTGTAAACTAAAATTCAGAAAAATCTGTGCAACAAAGGGATTAATCCTTAGAATAACACTCGCGATCTCGACGCTGAAGTAACATCATACGTTTTCCAGACCTACATCACGGAAAGATGATAAAAATGATTAAACAAAATTTTTTTAACTATTTACATGTATTAAATTTATTACCAATTATTCAGTGGTTTTGTAGATTGGGTGCCACCCGTTATCTTATTGAATCACGCTGATAATAACGATGCTCACATGGATCCAATTTTTTTTCTGAGTAATAAAGAAATAGGAGTGGAGTATAGTGTCTTGCACAAAACGTACAAGAGGAGATAAGCGAGAGAAAACGCGTGTAGGCCTAACATGCTAACAGGGTTAAAGCTTCTTCCTACTATATTCTCCTAATTATCTAAATTAAATTTGTTAATTTGCCATCTCGTAAGAATTAGAAAAGAGAACACATAGAACAACGGTGTATCAAATTTCAACGAGCGGTTTATGATACCCCGCGAACAAATTAAAATTCGTCGATCTAATGATTTTCTCCTAATTTAGCAGCGTTTTGTTGAAACAACAAGAGAGAGAGAGAGAGAGAGAAATACCATCGGAGGCTTGGCTTCCCTCCCAAAGAGGCAAAGAGAAATAAAACGACCAGTCGGAACCTATTATTTCAGGCACGTCTCATCAATCGCGTTTCCACGTGGCGGCGGCCTTCCCCGGTTAGAGCGTCGGCGGTTTAATGGCAGATAGAGCGGTAGAGCGTGAGATGCTATTACTATTCGCATGATCGGCGTATGACGTTGTAATCCGCCTTGAAACACGCTTAATGGAAAGAGTTACGTTCCGCATCGACGAGATAAGTAGTTTCCATCCGACACACACGTTATAATTTCGCAGTGGCGTGTAATCGGGTAGGAAGCAGGATACGTCTCGGCAAAAGGAACGAGGTTACGAATCGAGATTGCGCCGAAGGAAAATGAAATTTCGAGGGAGTGGCCGTCGTCGACGACGACGTCCTCGTCGTCTTCAGTGCTCGCCTTTGATGCTCGCGCTTCACCCCGGCGACTCCGCCCAATTCTAACTGGATACGGACTAACGATTATCGGCCGGCCGACATAATCGCGCCGCGAAAACTAATAGCGTCAACGAGCTACCATTATGTGTGTACCAGCTGGTACGATGGACGCGTGATAACGCTGTAATCTCGCGCGAAACTCGCGGCGGTCGAGTTCAAAGATATCTCTCATGGCATCGGGATGATTGGCCGTCTTCGTCGTGCGGGCAAACGTACGCATCTCTCGCGATGAGCGAGTGAACGACTTCTCCTTCGCGGCGAGAGGACGCGCTGGTACTTCGCTCCCTCCCTCCCTCCTGCGCTCGACCGCTGATTACGACGGAGTATAATGCGCGTGGCGGTACGTTTTAAACGGGTACAAAGTGCCGGCCGGTTTTACACAATCGGCGTAATAACGTTGTTCTGCCCCGGTAACAATAACACGCGTAGAGAGCGACGCGAGCTTCGTTTCGCACGGCTACGGAGGCTACGAGAAGGCACGTTTTCACGCCGCTCGCACACTCGTGAGCGAAGAAGAATGGCGGGGAGAGACAGAAGCGACCGCGAGGGAGAAGAACACATAACGGGTCCCGTTTCTTCCTCGGACGGATACACCGCCGTGTGTACACACAAAGTAGCTGAGCTCCCAGAGCAGCGATTACCCGCTCCCTCTTCCATTAATTACCGCCGCTCGCGCCGAGTCAAACGACTGGCCTGCGATTAACCTCGCAGTGGTCGCGCGCGAACGACAGGTGTCATCCGTGAACGCGTTAAAACTGCGTTTTTTGAAAAATACTAACAAACATCCATCCATCTTGCGCCTCCATGAACTCGTCAGTTAGGGACTGCTCGCGACTATCGCGGGAAATTGAAAATAATCCGCGCAACAAGATCACGAGAATATACCGTGCCGAAAGGGCACAAATTCGGTCTGTCCATAACATTGCTATTATGTATGTAATATTCGTTTCGAATATGATAGATTTTCTATATACCGTGTCTTAGTGTCCAAACAGATTCTTTCCCTAATAACGTTGACCTCGTAATTAGTTCCTAATTTGTTTCTTGTTCTTAAGATCCACACGGCTCAGTGTCGCCTTTTCAGTGACGCAAACAGGCCATTTATAAATGTAGTATTTATCAAGTAAAAAAGAAAAAAAATCACGTTTCTACACATTCATCTCACTATCTAAATAACAAATGTTAATTCGAAACGAAGAGTCGAGGCAAACATATGTGCGAAATATTACGAATGCGAAAATATTACTTTTGATTTTTCTTCTCGCTTTCTGCTAATGCTATATCTGTGCATCAGTTGATGCAATAGAGACGCGCAGATAATAGAAAGTGGCTCCGCAAGTGCTTGAGTATATGTGCGTGCGCACATATTTCGAATATTCTCATAAGTTATCGACTTGATTGAAAATGTGAATTTAAGACGAAGGACACTTGTCATCCGCGCGACCTCACTTCGTTGCATCGCACATACGCGAGCGCTCCCTCCGGGGTGAAAAATCTTAGCGGGCCTTACCTCGTCGAGAGCCATGGACAGAGCGCCGGAGATGGCGAGGCCCTGGCGGTCCTTGAGGCCACCCTTGATGGCCGTGAGGTAGCCGATGGTCAAGTTCTGCTTCTGCGGGTTCTCCTTCGGCGCGTTCGACTCGGTCGTCAGTCCCGTTTGATACTGACCAATGAGCGCCTGCTGCTGGGCCACGAGTAGTTCCGGCGGCTCGGCCTGGACCAAAAGACTGCTGGCCAGTAGCAGCAGCACCAGAAGGGCGCGCGGGCTACCGCCGTTGGCGCGCGGCAGGTGCAGCCGATGCTGCCGCTGCCGCTGTCGGTCGCGCTCCTGATGGAGCTGCTGCTGGTGCGGATGCTGGCGACGGGGAGGCCTGCGGTGGCTCGGCTGTACTGGCGGGCCGGGGCGCATGGCCGCCGCCGCCACCGGTCAGCAGCGCCTCCCTCCCGCTTACCTGCAACATTTTTCCAGCAAGTGTTGAGAAAGCGTGGAGAAAGAGAGGAAATGTCGCACGTGAAGAATGCCGTGCATGGGGGGGGGGGGATCGGTCGAATTAACGCGACAACAACGAACCGCACGGAGAAAACAAGTTTTGCTGGAACAGCAAATTGTTAATATCGCGACAGCAGAAGGATTTGTTACGCGGGAAAGATAATTTCGCTGTTGTAACGAAACGTCGTTGCTACGAGCGATAACATTTAATCGGCGTAACCGAATGATTTTGCCGCCCGATATATCTAGCAAATGGCAATTAATACTCCCAACAAATCTTCCCGTTGTCGGAACAAAATTTTATTCACCGTCGCTGTATTGACAAACATTTGTTGTTCTAGCAAAATTTCTCTCCTCCGTGCGAACCGTATTTTCGTTGAAACAGACAGAATTTCTAGCTCGTATGAACTAAACTCGGTCCTCAGGGCCGGAAATTCGGTTTCCCTCCAACGAAAACGCACCCGGTTTGTTCGTCGTTACGTTAATTCGAGCAGTCTTCTTTCTCCGTGCGATTGAAAAAAGAAAAAGGATCGATCTTCGAGAGAGACAAAATGACGAAGAAGCAAGGGCACTTCGGCGAGGCTGCGTTATAAGGAACGAATTTTTTCCAAATATGTCTTGTCACTTTGTTAAGATCAGAGAGAATCCGACGTGATACGCTGGGATGATTGATTCAGCGCTCGGCGGTGTTATCGATACTCTCGGGCTGCCGGGCATGACCGGTCTTATAGCGAACAGCGTGTATCGCGCAGCGAGAGCGTTACAATTTCCGTGGTTACAATCGCGAGCGCCGTTGAAATTGCAGTTGTGACAATAATGCATATCTTCCTGCTTAAGCGCGTTTATCGCGCAAGGCCACGCTTATTTGCATGAATCATCGTGCGTGCCATCTGTGCGCGCCCGGCTAATAATAGCTGATATACCTTTAAAATAATATTACTGCGCGCGTGCACAGGGCATACACGTTAAACTGATTTACATATGTACCATGCTCTCCTCTTCCCTTCGAGCCGGGGGGGGAGGGGGTCACTTTTTGCGCGACCGCTTCGCATTGTTCTTCGAATGGGCGTGCGTTGCTAGCTCATCGCGCGCCGAGGGACAATCCTCCGCGCGAATTTATATGACATAAACCGGATATCGTGAATCCCGGAGGAACCCGACATCCGTGACATCATTGTTGCAATAGGCAAATATAACGGCGGTCGCGGGCACCACGCTGCGAATGAGCGTGTTGCGACCACGCGCGCGCGAAACGACTGCAACTTCCCTTCCGTTGTCTCGTAAATCAATCGGATTTATTCTCTTGGTCGACGGACGTCGCAGCCGGAGCTCACGGTAGAATCATCGTGTCTTGCCGATGGCGGGCGTCTTCGTGCAAGTACGAAACTCATACCGCTAATTTCCATCACACACGTGTGTGCACGCATACATTAATTCTTATTGTATTCGGAGAGCACGACGTCTCGGGGAGAGTGAAAAGAGTTCTGTAATTTACGGAGAACCTTTCTGAGAACATCCGTTCCCGGTGAATCTACGGCGATGCAAATGGACCTTTTAATATTTTACAATGCACTGAAAGAGAGAGAAAAATATTCCAAAAATAGAAAAATGTTTATTCGGCGGATATTTTTACTCACTGTGAAAACATTTTTTCAAGTGAGAAAATATACACAGATAAAAAGTGCCAAATTCAAGTAAATAATTGCTCCAATGCTCTTTCGGCAATTTTTATTTGAATTAAGTAAATTTTTTTTTTAATTAAGTAAGTAAATATATTTTACCTGGATAATTTACTTGGAAAATATTTTATTTGGATCAAGTAAATATTATTTGATCCAAGCAAAAGTTTGGAGCGAGGAATATCGAAGCAATCATTTACTTGGATCTACCAGTTATTTCTGTGTACAATTTCTTACATCCGTAACTTTTTACGAGAGCAATTGTTTATTCAAATAAAAAAATTTGGATTTTAGTATAAATATTATTAATAACCGCCGAATAAATATCTTTTACTTTGTAAATATTTCTTCTCGGTGTATGTTAATGTGGAAAGATAAAGATCGAGAGAATGATATCACGATAATATCAAATTAGAGCGGACTCCGTACATCGACCAGTTACGAGCAGTCGGTGGCTCCTTTAGTAGGACGGGAATTCAGACTTTACGCGAGCTGGTGTAGTCGCGTTTACAAACGTGTGACCTATTTCCGATAAGTATTACACCAAGAAGAAAAATACCCGCGCCATTATCTATGAATTCCAACATGTGCCGTGACGATAACGTTCGCCGATAAGAGAACATCTGTACGAATACTGCGGGTCGACGGCTGCGCCGCGAGAGAGAAAGAGGTTCCCGATCGCGCGAAACGTCGAACAGGATCGCGCGCGTTAAATCGCCGCGGCACGATTTGTACGAGCGCGAAGTTGGAACACGTGGCCGCGCGCGCGGAGGCGAGACGAGACGAGGGAGCGAGCGAGTGAGAAGGAAAGAATGAGAGAGAGAGAGAGAAAGAGATGGACACCTGTTGCGCGATTACGTAACTTCTTAGCCAAGAGTCCGGCTAACCCGTAACGACTCCGGCAACAATAAAGACGTCCGCCTGTCATGACGCATGGTGTCATTCACCAAGGGAGGAAGCGCACACCTTTCGACTCGCCAGTCGCCGTCACCGCCGCCGACTTCCACAACTCGGAGGCTTAATTACGGCCGGGAGAGTCACGAAGCCCGGATTTATTTGACGCCCGTCGCGAATGGACAAAAGGGACGTCCCGTCGACGCGCCACGCCATACCATGCCACACCACGCCATGCTTAACCCCTCGACGTGATCCACCGTTACGTCACTACTCGTCCATCATACCTACGTGCAGTGAGCCGCGCATACGTCGCACTTGTACGTCATCCGGATGACGTACGAGTGGGCGCACCTTCGGTCCGCACTTCACCTCTCTCTTCTCTCGCACGCTCGCTCTCGCACCGGTCACGAAAGAGGAAACCCACGACGACGGTGGCTCTCGTCGGAGAAGTGTGCGCTCGGGGAAAAAGCGAGCGATGTTTATGCGAACGTGCGGAATGATTTAGCTCCGTACGTGCTCTCGATGCAGTGCGCACGGTTCAGCATCTCACTCCGCTTATCACTAGCTTCATAGTGCCTCATTGAGTGATTAACGCACGACACGTGTTAGGTGTGTTCTTCACAGTCCGGACCTTGAATGTTAACGAGCGGTTAATTAATACGTGGGTATCTATATTTATCGGCCACTGATGTACTTTTTTCTTGCGGAACGGCTTAAGGAACGCTCGGGGAAAAATAACTGAAGAAGGGAACCGATGCTCGCTTTGATCGCGCCGCCATCGCCGGCCGAAGAATTAGATATCACCTCGCGCGGTCGTAAAGTCGGCGTGAAACTCGACGTCGTATCTTTTACGCAACATCGCAAACCACGGTGAATATTTCATGCGGAGGAAGTGACACCGTTTAACGTCGTTCGTAACTTGACTGGTGGACTCCCGATCTGATCTCGACTGAGTCTTGATGGCTACACTGCGTTTCAGTCAATATAAATGACGCACGTTAACGGTTACAGTCGTCATCGGAGGATTTCGCGACGCGAGTTGAATGACGAGTTACGACTCGGCCATCAACTATTTCACGCGGTCTCCAAACAATGTCCACGGAAGACGGTGGCGATTTACACGCGTCGGTGCGTGAGCGAATTGAATGGCGCTATTTTAAGCTTAACATTCGAGAAACACAATTAACCTCCCGCACACTTATGTACATTTGTGTATCGATCTATGAATAGACGTGATAATCTTGAAGACGCGCTCTACCCGTTAGTCGTTTACTATCCGCTTCTAATTACGGCTTCTGTGAAACGGTGCTACAAGGTAAATTGACGCAGGTATGCGGCGGAGGAGGAGAGTGAAATTTTTCTTCCGAGAAATTCGAGAAAACGCGGCGAGAGGACACTACGTACACGGCGGTGTACGCCGTCCACGATATTCGCGGATGAAACGTGCTAATACTCAGTTATTTGCCTAATATATCCTTGGTTCATATAATTAGGATGTTTAGCGTTTGATTTACTGTGCACGGAGAAGGAAACATTCCGTCCTCTCACAAGGAAATCTTTCTTCCCGCTGCAGACAGCAAACGTTCGTGTCGCTCTTCACCCCAGATTTTATTTAAAAATTTCAATTTAATTTCAATAATCGCTCAGTGCCAGTATCTCGCGTATTAATGAGTACAGAAATTGAAATGTTTTGTCCGATTTCCATCTTTTATTTTTATCGCGTATAAATTTGTAGTGTGCAAATATTGTATATAGAAAAAGTGCTAGAATCAAGTAAACGTAAATATCGATTTTTCAGGTTTTTAAATCAAGTAATATTTTTATCAATTTAAATATATTTTAATAGCTTGTAGTAAATATTTACTTGAACATAGTAATATCTTAATTTGTAAATAAATTATTAAATGTAAGTGTAAAATGGTTCTAAATTTAAAGAAGCACTTATTAAAATTATATTTCTTTTCCATTGAAGAAACTTAGTGATTTAAAATTTAGATTTTCTAGCCAGAGAGTAAAATATTTTCTAAAAATAAATTCTGATATTCTCTATATTACACATTTATATACGAGTTAATGCATTTATTGCAATTATTTTAACACATATAAATAAATGTCTAATTATACGGAGAAAATATACTGTATATAGTCGATTATATTTCTCTATTTGTAATAAATCGTTTTTTGAGTGTTGTGTGATGTTGAAATAATCATTTTACTTGGATCAAGTAAATATTACTTGAACGGTATTACCTCTTTATTCCAAAGTAAAGAACTACTATCTGAAAAATCTGTTAATTAACGTATCTTCGCATTCACTTCGCATTCACACAAGAACAAATAACCCGAAGCCAAAGCCTGACTCTTCATCCGCGCGATACAAAATGCC